ATTGATAGGAACCTCCAACTCTCACCTTGACTAAAGACTTTTTAAGAAAATCATTAAATTCCTTGCTCCATCTGCTCGGCTGCTCCAGTTTGGGCGGTTCGCTCTTTTGTATTTTGAGCAGCACACGCATTGGCGACATTTCGCTATTGGGTGGCTCCATTTGCGCCAGTTCAATGAGTGTTATGCCCAGTGACCAAATGTCCACCTTGTGATCGTATGGATTGTCGCGAAACGTTTCGCAGAGCACCAGCTCCGGTGCCATCCAATAGGGCGTGCCAATGAACGTATCATGCTTTTGCATCGTGTGTTTATTCTTGGCCGACACACCAAAATCAGCTGCAAAATAACAGAGGGCATTTAATTGGGATCTTACTTAATTAATTTAAGCTGCCTACCCAGCTTTACGCCACCCTCCATGGTGAGCAGCACATTGCCGGCCTTCAAATCTCGATGTATGACCTTGTTCTTGTGCAGAAATGTGAGGCCCTCGGTCATGTGCTTGCAAACATAGGCAATTTGTGGCTCTGTCAGTGGCTTTTCCAGCTCCACCATGATGCTGTCCAAGGCGCCGCCGTCACAATATTCAATGAGCATCTGTGTAATAAATGTAATTTAGTAAATATAACAATTCTAAATAATAATATGTCAAATAAATATTGTTAAATTAATTCATTCGTAAGTTACTTAATTCATATTTTATTTAACAAACTTATTTGAGATTTATTTTCCATTTTATAACACGACCTTTAAATTCAATTATTTTACTGTCATTTATCAAATATTTAGATGAATATAAATTCTCTTTTACTTTTTATTGAGAAATCATTTAGAAAGTAAAGGGAATGTACGTACTTTATGACTCGCAAATACTTCTACTATATACACATAATTATGAGAATTTGGTATGACTCACCCACAGTTTGTCATCTATAGAGAATGCCTCGTAGAGTTCGACAATATTTGGATGCTTGATCTCCGAGAGTATATCGATTTCGACCATGTGATCGCTGAGATTTTCCTCATCCTCAAGCGTGCACATCTTTGCGGCCGCAAAGCGTTTGTGTTCCTTATGCTGGGCTTTATAGACCTTGCCGAAGGCACCATCGCCCAGTTCACCGACCATTTCCCATAATTCCTTTGGGTCGGTGTCCATTTTGATGTTATTGTACAGGCGTTTCTTTTTGGCCTCACCACCGCCGCCAAGGTGGAAGACCTTCTTCAGGTTCGTTATGAAGGACATTTTGGGGCTTCTTCAACTTTCTACAGCTGCTGCTCTTCCTTCGTCTTGCAGAAATACGCGTGTGTAAATATTGTTTTTATTGAGCCTTGTTCTACATGCTGCAAGGAGCAGCGGCTACCGCCAGGTTAAACTAGATTCGAATTTGGTGAAAGCTGCGTAACAACAACGACAAAAACAACAACATGCATCATTGATTGAGCTTGAGCTTCATTGATTGATTGAGCTTTGGTAGCTGCCGTTTTTTTTTTTCTTTCTTGCTTTTTATTTAAACTCTCTTGTCGCTCACCTGCTTCGTCTCCTTCTGCTGTTGCTTCTTGTTCGTCTTAGTTCAAATGAAAATGGGCCAAAGCAGCGCAGCTAGTTTGGGGTCGTGGGTTTGGCTCTGGCTCTGGCTCGGTTGACGACTGCTTAACGCTTCTGTATGTTTATAATTTAATTAGCAGCTCTCGAGCTCTAATATTTGTACACCACATAGAAAGAAACACATACGAATGGCTGGAAAATGATTACAAACGAGAAAAGTAAGAGACGTAGACAAAAAGAGCGTAAAACGACTGTCTGTCCGTGTGCATGTATTTCTGCTTGTGTGCATTTGCATGTGTATGCGTATGTCTACGAGCTGAAGCTGAGACTTGGCTCTTCTTTTTCTTGGCTCTGGTCGCGTTTTTTTTTTCCTTTCGACAGTTTTTTGGCAAAGCCAGCGGCTTTACGTATATGTGATAAGCACCCAAATTTAAACAATGCAATGCACAATTTGTAAACAACACGCGCACTCAAAGCCTCAGCCTCGTTTTACAGTTGCTCATTGATGATTACGCCGCGGCCGCCCATCGAACTGGACGTATGCGTGTGTGTGTGTGTGTGTGTGTGTGTGAAACTGTAGACGAACGCAGCAAGCGACAGCAGCAAAAACAATTACCTCATCGTCGCATCACAATCATTTTATCATATCAGTCGGCTACACAATACGAACGACAAGCGCGCCCAGCGAATTTTATGGCATTACTAAACTTTTCGCGTAGATAAAAAACGTTTTGCACTCAAATTGCTAATTGCTTTGGATATTTTGTCAATTTCTCTCGCGCAATGCCAGCCAGTGTGACCAGTTCTTAAATTCCACAGTGACGATATGGCAACGCGCATTGCATATTCTGATGACCAAAATGGCGTATCGTGTGTGTCAGAAGAGCACCACCGATGTGCGTATGCAGTGCCGTCAAGGGCAAACAGAAACAGCACTTTACAACTACACATGCACGCACCCAAAGTTAATGCGATAACGGCATCGAATGTTATAAACTTTTACTAATTACTTTGCTCTATGTGTGAATTCTAATAATGGTTGAAAAGTGTAAGACCTGATCGAAATGTACGGCTCACCGAAATATATCGATACATCGATGTATGTGTCAACATTTGTTAATTTGTAGTATCGGCCAACGCTTGGTATTTTATTATTTGGTTTTTTAGTATTTAGGAATATCCAAATCACAACAATATATAGTTTTGCTGTGTTAAGTAAAACTTATCGATAGCTGTACTTGATAGGCATCGAAATTCATTTACAACTATCGCATTTGCAGACCAATATATATATATCGCTAAAGCATCCATCTCTAGACCCACGTCAAAGAAGAAGAATCTGCTTGTCATTTCGGTGTTTCGCTCAATTGTTATCCGCAACAAAAAACATTTGTTGCAATTGTCGCAAGTACGCTTTAAAAAAAAAAACAGAAGCATAGTACGCTGTGCTTAGCAAATCCCCAACACTTTACAAACCAAACGCCACAAATTCAAAATGCCGTCGCTGGAGGTAAGCGTAAACAAAGTAATTGTCCACCCGCTGGTTCTGTTATCGGTTGTGGATCACTTCAATCGCATGGGCAAAATAGGCAACCAAAAGCGCGTCGTTGGCGTGCTTCTTGGCTGCTGGCGTTCCAAGGGCGTGCTGGATGTCTCCAATAGCTTTGCGGGTAAGTAGAAATATATTAAAAACACAATTATGGTGCAATCCATATACAAATGCCCTGCAGTGCCATTTGATGAGGATGACAAGGACAAGTCGGTGTGGTTCTTGGATCACGATTATCTGGAGAATATGTACAGCATGTTCAAGAAGGTGAATGCACGCGAGCGCGTTGTCGGCTGGTATCATACCGGACCGAAGCTACACCAGAATGATATAGCCATAAATGAGCTTATTCGTCGCTACTGTCCAAATTCGGTGCTGGTCATCATCGATGCCAAGCCCAAGGATCTGGGCCTCCCCACTGAGGCCTACATAGCCGTCGAGGAGGTGCACGACGATGGCTCACCCACGAGCAAAACCTTTGAGCATGTGCCCAGCGAAATTGGTGCCGAGGAAGCGGAGGAAGTGGGCGTTGAGCATCTTCTGCGCGACATCAAGGACACCACCGTTGGCAGCCTGTCGCAGAAGATCACCAACCAGCTAATGGGCCTGAAGGGTCTAAACGCGCAGTTACGCGACATCAAACAGTATCTGCAGCGCGTAGGCGATGGCAAGATGCCGATCAACTATCAGATTGTCTACCAGCTGCAGGACATATTCAACCTGCTGCCTGACATAACCAACGATCAATTCACGGGCACCATGTACGTAAAGACCAATGATCAGATGCTGGTCGTCTATTTGGCGTCGATGGTACGCTCCATAATTGCGCTGCATAATTTGATAAACAACAAGCTGGCGAATCGGGATGCTGAGGAGGGCAAGAAAATAGTCGAGGGTGACAAGGATGGCAAGGATAAGAATAAGGATAGCAAAGACAAGGAGAACAAGGATACTAAAGATAAGGATGGCAAGGACAAGAAGACTGAAGAGAAATCAGACAAGAGCAAGGACGAGGGCGGCAAGAGTACTAAAAAATAGGAGCGAAAGAAAAAACGGAAATCACGTCGCAAACGCAAGAAGCAGCCGCCAGAGCCGTAAACAATACAAACAACAACAACAGCAGCGACACCAACAACAATAGGAACATATTTTGGCCAGCTTAGCGGAGTCTGTTAAACATGTCAACAAACGTCGAAAATAATAGCATACATATTCCTCTTCATAACACATAAATATCGTACCTAGTTATATATAAATACACGCAGCGAAATCCTCTTTAAATATTTTGTGTAGCTAAGTACGCTTAACAGTAACCAGCAAGTTGATGTAATTAAAACTTAATTAATTTAAAATTAAATACGAATATATCATTTAATGAACAGTTATAGGAAACTATTTGCAGGGGATTATGATGCCGACACTGCAATCCAGATGGTTTATTGTACCAAAAATGGCGATCTGCTAAAAAGGTTTAAGATATAGCTCTAAAATTTTATATGCAATTATCATTTCCTTAATTATTCTTTTCCGTTGCTTAATCCCGAGCTGCGTTGTCTTTGGAGTTGTATTGAAATATCGTATCGTTCCAGCAGATACTCTTTTCACTCATTTTCCGTCAAATGTAGCGTTTTTGAGAATGAGAGAATATTTTGGCTAAAGCGAATGTTCTCATTATCTTTGCAGTATGATTATATCCTACAAAATGAAACACTTTCTCGGTTTTTTTGGTTTTTTGTTTTTTTTTTTTACTACCAAAATTATATTTAATATCATCAAAAAACAATTGTAAATGGCTGTTCTACAATTGTTTTTTGCAGTGGACCAAGAAGAAGAAGGTTGACTGTGAGAGTCTAGACTTAGGCATATGCATTGTACAGGGTCTTCTTAACGAGTGTAGCTAATGTGTTATTACCTTGCGATAATGCTATTAAAAAGCATTTTTTACCAATTTACTTTCACATTATACAATTATTATTTAACTATATTCTAATAGAAAATGGAACAGCTTGAATTACTCTTCTTTACTGAACTACAATAATACTTAGTTAATATTTTTGATATTGTATATATATATATAGTAAGTTGTAAGTTTTAGATAGCTTGTAGATTTGGCGAGTATTTTAGGCTAGTTTAAACAATGAGTTGTGCACTAACAATCGGTATACGGTATTACAATTACAATTATTATAACTTTATACGATAAATACTTGCAGTATAAAATGTAACGTGAGCAGCTGGCCAAAAAGAAAACCTCTGCAAATGGCTGTTTGCAGAGATTTATTTGTATTATAACAATTGTGTCACCTTCTTCAACATCATGTTGTTTAAACCAACCACTCACTGGCCAGGGGAAATTTGAGCGGCTTGCAGCTGGTGATCCTCAGGGCGCAGTTATTGTCCTCGGCAGCAGTTGTTGGATAGCTTTTCTCGTTGACCGAGCCGAGACTTAAACTATGGCTAAGACTAGCACTAGCACTATATGTAATAATATCATTGCTATTCCGTAAGTTTGTGTTTGCCAACCGGTCCTTCTCCTCCACATCCGCATCGAATGCGACTCCCGCGTCTGCCTCCATGTAGCTAAGATTATTTGTGTGGTAAGCGTAGTAACTGTTGAAATCCAGCAGTTTATTACTGCTACTGCCAACATCTGATGTTGTTTTATTGGCTGTTGCTGTTAATTTTGTTGTTGTTGTTGTTGTTGTTGTTGGTGAAAAGCTTTTACAATTTAAATTATAGTTTCTGCTGGTGTGTATATTCAAATGCACAGCATTGTCATGTCACACCGAAGTGCCCTGTTGACCCGGCACAACCGAACCACAACTCACGTCCGGCTTGAACGACTGTTGCATTCGCTGCTTGCAGTTGCCCCTCGACGCAATGAAGAATTTGTATATCATGTAGATGGGTATACACATTACCGATGAACAGGTAACGGCCCAGCCCACCTGAATGCTCCACGGCGGATAGTAGAACTCCTCGCCAAGCATTTCCTTATAGCCCAGTATCGAGAATATAAATATGGTCTGCAATAGAACATAGATTATAGCTAATATCTTGTCTCCTTAAACTGTCACCTACCAGCAAGAATACTGGACTTATATAGGTCCAACAGATGCGCCAGAAGATGCCCGGCTTAGAGCCCAACATTTGCTCCACATCCGAACTGAAGCGATCAACGCCATAAAACCAAAATACGCCCGCAGCTTCGACGAATACCACAAAGAGTATGGCCAGACCGGGTCCGTAGACATTCAAAAAGTTGACCAAAACAACACCGCCCTGAAAAGCAAAAGTATAGAAAGATAATTATAGCAGAAACAAGGTACATTTTATAAGATTAAGTATAAGCAACCGGAACGGGGAACCGCTGTCCTTCAGGAGATGACCGTTTCGCCCCATTTGCATTCACTCCTTGATCCATTCCACCAACGGAACGAAGACCCTTTATTCAATCCTAATGCAAACGATACTCTTTCTATATTATATATTTAAAATTTTAATGAGCCCCAAAATGTACTTATTGAAGAGTATCTCACATGGCTTTAATTTCTTATCAGAAATCTTTCTTTGTATTTCTCTTTAAGCTCAAGCTCCTTTGATAACATTATACGCATTTCCAAGCCAAAACAATAAGAATGACCCAAAAAAATGGATGCAATTTTGCGAGTTGCGATTGATTAATGGATGCAGGCGGTGTTCCGGTTAAGATATGCATAGAAATGGAATAGCTTGATCCGTTGACCGATACACAAGTCGAGTGGCCAACTTAAATATATATGTGTATATAGAGGATACTAAATTACAATTTCAAATGTAATCAGGCAAAGTGGCAATGGACAAACCAGGGCGTCAAGTGTTTGGCCAAGAGCAAAGCCAGCAGCAACAACAACCACCTTGGCGAGCTGGCAGTGTTGGGTGCTCGACCAGGCCAAAAGCAAACAAGCGTTCGACCCACCAGCCTGACAGGTGATAAAAATGCAGAAGCAAATGCGGAAAGATGTTTGGACGCTGGGCAGGGCACTTGACTGAAGCTGAGTATGTGAGATTAACTGAAGGAACGATAAAAAGCACTTAACATGGCAATCCATCGTTTTTTGCCTCAGCCAAACTGGCATATTTAAACAGTTGTCCATTCGTCCGTCCCACCCTAGGTCCGTCCAGCCGCAAGACAATCGCCAGTCATGGCAGTGGCTGCGTTTAATGAGCCATGTGTGTTGGCTGCCCTTCAGCAGCTTCATGCATATGGAGCAGCCAAGGCGTCCTCACGCACTTAACAGTTAATTAAACGAATCACTTCGCCTGATAGATAAGCGACAGCAGCTACTTACATAGGTCATTGTGGGGAGAGCGCACAGAAAGATGAACATGAGCAGCAGCAGCACGAATAGCTCACGTCTTCGGCCAATCACACGTGGATACTCATCACACAGGGCTGTTATCATCGCCTCCAGGCCGCCAAAGGTGCTATCCAGTCCCAGTGTGATGAGCATCAAAAAGAATATGATGCTCCAAAAGACCGAACCACTCATCGTGGCTATGGCCTCGGGATAGACAATGAAGACAAGCCCCGGCCCCTCCAGGCCCACCTTATCGATCGATGTCTTCTGCACATAGGCCATGTAGCTAAATGGAAAATTATAAAATAGGTTAACCGATATACATATATCGAAGTAGCTAAACAGATTTCCACTCTTTTTTCACCGGAGTAGGTGAAATTGTTAAATGCCCAAACAGAGTCTTATATGTAAAACCCTTTGATTATATTAGGTACTCACCCCAACACCGAAAAGATAACGAATCCGGCTAGAAAACTAGTCAGACAATTAATGCTGCTGGTTATGAGCGCATCTCGGTAGCAATTGTTATTAAATTTATTATAGCTAGACAGGGCGAGCAGCGTGCCAAAGCCGGGACCCAGTGAGAAAAAGATCTGTGAGGCAGCATCGATCCACACCTTGGAGTTCTTCAGCTTATGCCATTCGGGCGTCAGATAATACTTGATGCCCTCATCGGCGCCGGGCAACGAGACGCCGCGCACCAGCAAAATGATGAGCACCACATAGGGTGCCAGGGCGGTAACCCAGACGACCTTGCCGGCGCTACGCACACCCTTCCATAGCGAGAAATAGACGAGCACGAATACGCCAAAGACACAGAGCGCCAGTGTGGGCTTGACGGGACCCATGAAATCCAAGCCGTTGCTCTTGTAACTCTCCAAAACACGACGCCTGAGTTATAAAGAGTTTCACAAATAGTTGCTTATTTTATTTTATGCCTTCAGTTCTGGCACTTACTCGAAAAACTCCTTGGCTGGCGACGTGGCCAGCTCCGTGAAATTCTCGTTGGTCACGGGCATACAGTTTAGTGTGTTCCACGGATTATCGCACGATGTCCACGGCAATTTTGAGGTAAATGAGGCGAATAAATAATACACTGCCCAGCCAATAATCGTGTTGTAGTACATGCCCATATAGATGTCGATCAGACAAATCGCATAGCCAACACCTATGTATGTAAGGGGTCGTCCATTTTTGAGCATTATATTATAATAATATTGTTTCACTTAGAGCTAGAGAATAGAATTCTAGAGTATACAGATCAAGTAGCTTTCTCTTAGTCGGGCATTCCCGACCTCTAGTACATTTACTTGTCCAATTTCAAGTATTTTACCCAAGAGATTGTCGAGTTTCAGCTCGTATTCAATCTTACTTCAAGTGCAACCTACTAAACCAGTTCTATGGCACAATTTAAATCTGAAATCTTTTGTATCAACAGGTAGCCATTGTATGCTTCTGTGTGTGTGTGTGTGTGTGTGTTCGTGCAACATGGGAATGCCAATCTCTGATTGATAACGATGAGAGAAATCATCAAGTTGAAATATTCCCACGTGACATTTTACACATTCCTGCTTATTGGACACGAGGCGAGCGAACAGTTAACTGAGATGTCTTCACGGATTCCAATGCAGGGCATCTAAATACACTCACCTGCCTGGCGCCCGAGACCCCCACCCCCTCTCCTGCCGTTCCACGACACGATTTATTTGATGATGCCAATAAGACACGTCACGTGATTTTGAGTTGGTTTGCAGCTTCGCTTTGCTTCTACTCAGACTTTGCCACAATCAATTTTTATTATACACTTTTAATACCCTATATGAAACGAATGTGGGTAGCAGAGAGGGGTATATTGAACTACTGGAAAATAGGGTACAGAAGAAATTATCTTCGATTACGTTCTTTTTAGTGAAATATGTTACCCCTATTAGATTTGGTAAGCTTTGTAAGTTTTCTCTGTGCCTTAAAACACAGATAAAAAAGATAAAGTATTTTCTTTGAAACGTTTTATTCATCAAATATCCTGAATGTTTTATGTATATAGTATTGGTGTCTGAGAAAACGTCTATTTATTTTTTGATTAACTTTTTAAGTTGAAGTTAGAAAGAGTTTAACATCCCTATCGAAGCTTTATACTGTCTCTTAAAGTATCTTCTTGCTATCTGCCGGGAGATAAATGTTTATTATTTATAGAGAGGAGCATACCAAAGATGTGTTAGTTAAGTACAGGATAAACGCTAGTCGAGAACTCTCCACTGACACACTTACAAATTTGTGTCTTCTCTTTTGCCATTTCTATTCAATTTTAATCGCCTGGCAGAAAGTTGGCGCAAAGGTTTCGTAGAGCAAACACTTGTTGAGCAAATGATGACTGCCACAAAGTAATGTTTGCCGTTCAGCTCAGGGGTCGGGGCTCCGGAAGCGAGGCGAGGTGGAGCGGTGCCCAAGTGCAGGGCAGTGAGTCAGCAAAAAGTTGGTGCAAGTTTAAAGCGCTGTCAGCCGCACAATAAATCCACTTGTACGGGAAAGCAAAATCCATTTGGCAGCATTTTGTTTGCCATTTAATGAAATTATCAACTTGATACGCAAAAACTTTCGAGTGTCTTCGTATCGGAGATAAGTCAATTTTAGTAGGCGCCACCCTGGTGCACAATTTAATTAGAGCTCATATTGCGCCTGATTTGTGCGCTATTCAAATATAAATTTCACTTGAATGCGGCATTAATTGTTGCAACAAATTTCACTCTGGCTTATCAGCTAACTTGGCTCTCAGCACAAAAACTCAGTTCAGCCGAGTGCGTGTCCTTTCCAGGCCGACTCTGATAATGTCGTCAGCAGCACGAGTTGGACAAAACAATGTAGGCAAACACGTCCTTGGAGACATGTGTTGTCCCCAGGCTGCGGGCCACTCGGCCACTCGGCTCCAAAAATCCAACCCAAATTTTCTGTAACTGGGCCGGTTCGGTACGGTCTTATCGCAGCCCAAGCATCAGCAGCATGAAACTCGACCATCACAAAATTTCTGACAGACTTACAGGCAGGGCCTTCATCACATGTGCGTTGAAATAATATGTGTTATTAAAGCTCTTAAAATTAATATTGAATTTATATACAATTTATGATATTTAGCTGCAGGCATTCAACTGTGCAAATATTGAGCGATTATTTGGCCGGCTTAATAGATGCCAATATGCAGTCTTACTCGCGGCTTTTATTCAATATTTGTGATTCATTTATGTGAAGCGGGCATAAACATAAATTACAGGTAACAAAAACACCTTCACCTAAGGGTATTATGTGGGAACTGCGGATGGAAAATGTAACCTAGATATGAATAAAAATGGCATAAGCCATTGATGGTGATTTTAAGCATAAGATATAGCTATTAAATTGAAGCATTAAATGAAAACAAAAAAACCAAATACTTTTTGTGTATATTTCGTGTACACATATTAGATCTCGATCAACATTAAATACGATTTAACAAATGTTGAGGGAGTTGTAAGCAAGGTTGACTAACATTAATAATAATAAATAAATAATCATATCATATTTTTGAACAATCAACTTCAGATTTGGGGGTACTAAATCTATACAAATATATTCATCAAATTTGTCTCTGGCAAAAAATGTTTTAATTTAACCAATGCATCGATTTTTAATGATATTGTGCAAAGCGCGCTCAGATATCTTCCAACTTATTATTACACAAATTATTTTATCACTTATGATACTCTAGAACTGCGTGCCTTGTACTGCCTTTAAAAAAAAGGACGGACCTATTTAATATTTCAAGACTGAGAGACTAGCTCGCGACTCGACTAACTCGGCTGTTGATGATCATCTAGAATGTAGTATATACTTAATGTAGTATATACTTAATTATAATACCTACAAGGCAATAAGTCAGTTTAAAGACAGCTCGCTTGACTCACCCTTCAAGGCCGGACAAATGCGCTTCCAGATGCTAAGGCAGCCGCAACGATGGAACTGACCCAGGGCCAGTTCCATATAGAACAGCGGCAGGCCGCCAAAGATGAGAAAGACGCAGTAGGGCACCAGAAAGGCACCACCGCCATTCTGGTAGCAGATGTAGGGAAAGCGCCAGACGTTGCCCAGATCGACGGCAAAGCCGATGACGGCCAACAGGAACTCGGCCTTTTGGCCCCAAGTCTCGCGTTGTCGCTCCGTCACGGAAACGACCAAAACGCGCTGCAAGAAAAAGAAGAAGAAGAAGAAAAAGTCAAAGTTAGCGCCAAGTGGGGTTTGGGGGTGATGCCTGGTTGCAGTTGCAGTTGCAGCTGCAACGGAAATTAAAATGAATTCCACTTGCCTCATTGTTGGCCAAACGCGGCGCCAGCGGATCGGTGACTTTGGCAGGTGTCGCAGTGTCGCCATCATCCTCGTTGGAGTCATCCTCATTGTTGGGCGACTCCTTGTCGTTGCCCCACGGTGTGGCCGTTGCCGTTGACGCCGATGTTGCCGCCGCATTGTGCCCAAACTCGGTGCTGTTGTTCTTGCTGCTGCTCATGCTGCGATCCATGTTGCTGCCAACCGTTCGAATCTCTGGTTGTGCCTGTCCGGGCGACGTTGCCGAGTACGGCGATCGCGGCACTAGCGAGGCCAGCCGGACACTGCCCTGCGCCACGGGTTGCGTTTGTGGCTGTGCCACAGCCGAAAGCCAGAGCCAAGGTCAGGCTCGTGCACCCAATATACCTCTTTCTCTCTCTCTCTCTCTCTCTCTCTCTCTCAATCCCTCCCTCTCGCTCAGTCGCTTACTGTGTGTTGTTGTTAGGCCTCTTTAGCGTTCGCTGTGCATCCAAATTTGCACTTTGCCCTCAGTGTTTACATGCTGGCCGGCGCATCCTTTGGCGGTGGGTGTGGCAATGGCTGCGGTGGCTGACCTTGAAACTGCAATTGCGATTGCCATTAACTGAAAGCGGTTAAAGGATTACTCGTAACTTCAATGGATGCACAACTAATGAGACTCCTCCCCATCGCTGTTCACACACACACACACACACACACGCATACACGCCCAGAAACACCTATTGGCAGTGGCATTGGAACATTTGTATAAGGTAGATTATATATTCAAAGGTATGAGCTAATACTAGGGTGCTTCAAGCCGATAGAAAATTAAAGCATATAATATATGTAAAAAAAAAACATAAAAAAAACAATAATACAAATATTATTAATATTTAAAATCATATTTCAATTGATGATAACAATAACAATCGTTAAAATAACTAAATGATAAATAATATCCTAGTATCCTAGAACTACATCTATATATTCTTTATATTCATTGCAGTATTTATCAAGATCAAAAAAGACATTGCTTTTTTACTACTTTTTTATTCGATCCATAATGGGAAATAATCTAATTGCGGCACTAAGCAAAATATATTGCCGACATTTTAGCTGAGAGATATCAAAGATTGTATTTAGGAATTCTAAGTCGGGTATTAATAATGGAAACTTTAAGAAATATCATCTATCTTTATTTTTTTTTTACATTTAATCGAATTTAAGCAAACAAGTTGTTTCTTTCGATTAGCCAATATATTTCGACTGCTCGTCGGCAGTTTTCTTAATTTAATTTATATCATTCCTATTTTGAATAAGCTTCACTTGAACTAGTTAAATTCGCGCTACTAATTATATGTTGTTATATGTTTTGAGATACTTTATGTAATTTTTTGTTAATGGCTGCCCCTGACCAGAGGCACACATACGCACTTCTCGGCCAATGTGTTTGTATTCACTCGGTCAGATTGGATTCCCTGAGGTGTCCTTTGTCTGGTAATCTATGGCTCAGCGATTGGGCCGAGCCGCGCTGGGGCCGACGGCGGCCAGTCGGTGCGCATCGCTGGCCAAATTGACGATGTTCAATGTCAATGCTGTAAATACTTATGGGACTTAAATAGGCTACATATTGGCCTGTTTGGGCATTGCTTGGCCTTATTCTGGTCCTTATCGGTTACCGTTGCGATGTGAGCATAGCCAACGGCGGGGCTTAAAACTATTGTCCTCGCAAATGTTGTCATTTAAAATATTTTGGATACTGGATTGAACCTGTTGGATTGTTTGCATAGGATTTGTATTCCTATTTGTTTTATCTTTCTTGTCTCGCTTAGCTCTAATTTATTGCGCTCTTGAATCGTTAGTTAAAGACAATTGCATTGCCTTCTAATTATCATTTAATGTTAGCAACGCCTGGCACCTGTCGCATTCACAGCACATATCTTTCAAAATACCTTGTCGATATGTAGGTGAAGCTGCCTCATAACAAATTCTGATAACACAAACAGCACAGCGCGAATTCGAAATAATTAAAAGACACTTAGAGATAGGGAGAAAACGAACGACATGTGCGAATCGCAAATTAATTGCCTATGTTAATTTGAGATAAAAAACAAAATATAAATAAATTGCTTACAGTATAAAAAACATAAGTAAACTGAGCATCATGTGGACTTATCTAAGAAAATTTAAATCCAAATCGGATTTTGTTAATCAAGAATCGGATAATAAAATTATTATTAGCCAATAAACTATGTGAAATACATAAAATTCCTAATATACTCGTGTATCTTAAGAATTTTATAAACAAATTTAAAAATATTATATATTATATTTTATATTAATATTTCTTTTCAAGCTTACATATATAAGCTATACATAATATGTTGAGCATATAAATACATAAATAACACAATTTTAATAAGATACGATAGCTGATTGCTCACTTTTCAAGACAAATTTTATTTTGAAAAATAATATTTAATAAACATATATTGGGGAATCAAGATCTTCCAGGAAAAGTAGATGAAAAAATGTAATAAATAATATAAATTTAATATTATATTATTTTATTGGCTTAAAAATATTTCAGCTGTTTACTCACTTACTTTTAATTAAGTATTTTTTTTTGTATATATATTTAAATATTTTACAAGACCATTCGTAATATCCACAGATATTTCAAGTCATGCATATTGAAAACCACTTGAGAAAGCAACACTTTATTCTGTCTATGTTCCTTTTTATTATTATTATGTATTGAAAACTTTCACTTATCTGACTGAAGCTGAGTTAGTCAAAACTTTGAGTGGCGCGCGCCGCTTCGCTGTGGCAACTGCTGGCGCTGCGAGCGAGGCGTCTCCTTTTATACGCGCGATGCGCAGGCCGAGAAGACGAAGCGCGGCCAGGACAACAGCCGAGCCGAACTGTTGTCCTTCGTGGTCCTAGGGTGTGTGTGTGTGTTTTTTCTTAAATATATGCGGGCTTTGCTGAGCTTGCGACGGGGTCTGCAGGGCTGCTGTGGCAGTCTGAGCCGGACAGGTGGCAACTGTAACTTAAATTGCGGCAAACTGTTGCTTTGCCAAAGTTGATTGAATGGCAAGGTACTGGCCAGGAGGTGGGCTGTTTTTTGAAAAAATTAGTCGCTGTTAAATACATGGGAAGCCAAAGAAGAGAGAGAGAGAGAGAGAGAGGGAGAAAGGGTAGCGAAATCTTAAGGTCACTCTGACCAGAAGTAATTCATGAGAATTGCATAGTAAGGCGGAGAGTGAATTCAGAAAAGTTAGGTAAATTTTTGTAAGCAATTATTATAAGACAACATTTGGAAACACACACACATATACGTATAAATGCATACAAACATCAAAAACTTATCAGAGCTTTAGTCGAGAGTGCACGACTAGGCGATACCCTATAGTGCCCGCGCTCTTCTTTCAGATCCCAGTCCAAGTTTAAAAAGCTTGGAAATTTAAAAAAAATCTTCGTTATTTTCTGTGCTTCACATTAACAACTAAAGTTTATTGAGTTTCGTACCGGTTTAAATATTAAAACTACACTCTATAGATAAGTACAGTACTGTACCCAGACTTTGTTTATATTATCGTTAGGTTTTACATTTTTTTAAATTAAGCGCCGCATTTGTTGGGTTTGCAATTGGTATGTTAAGAATTTATTCAAAGCCCTCGCAAGGCTTTCTAGGAAATCAGTTCTAATCAAAACACTTCACATTTCACCATAAACAATTATAGAATTTGTTAATTTATTTATTTATTGAAAAACTATAAATAGCACCTTTCGTACACGGATTTAATGTGCCCGAACTTTATGCCGATGCTAATTTTTGCTACAGAAATAATTCATTGCAAATATTGCGAGCACATGCAGCTGCTCGTTTCAATTATTTAAGTCAAACAAATCAGTTTAATTACAATTGAGCTTGGCGCGGGCGACGCGACGTTTACATCTGGGGTTACTAATGAATACTGATTGTGCGCGCCCTGCGCGGCGCACGTTTTATACGGTTGAGGTAGGTGAGATTTGCAATTGGGCGATCGACAGGTAACGCCAGCAAGTGCACAATATTTGCGCTCATGCTCGCTGATGCTGACCTCACAGCTGCGAGCTTTTGTAAGCGGGGCTTATATCAGGAGCTTACAGCTGTGACGTCATGCGCGTTATAAGGTTTTGCTCGCAGGCTTTGTGGCGCAACCTTTTGATCATTTAGACATGACATGGGTGGAACATTGAGGACTTTGCTGTTATTGTTGCCATTTCTTGGCGTGGGCTGTGATCAGACGTCGCGTCTGTCAATGGGCATTTGGATCCGCTTTAAGCCTGAGCACAAGTCATTTCTCATTGGCGATTATCGTCCAAATGACAATTTGTGTCGCGTCATCGTCTCTATGCATTTATGAGCTATTACACGCCCCGAAACTTATATAATTGTAATCGGATATCGAATTTCCTAGCCAGCGCCTACAACCACAAGCTGCTTGCATACGTCATCGGCGTGAAGGTGGCTCACCAAGAGACACAGTAGCAGCAGAAACTGCAGCAACAGTCGCGTCTGCCTAGTTGTTGTAATTAGATGCAAATGAAATTTACATGCTGCTTGCTAATTGCCGCGTAAATAAATGAGTTCGAGCACATTTGTGATATATGTACAAAATAAATGTTAAACATAATTTTTGTTGATATGCAATATGTTTCCTTATCATATAATTTAAATACCGTGTCCACTTTGGCGCCGTGTTGTCAGCGCAGTGGCACTCAAACTGTAACACACATTGCCATTTTGAGTATAACATACGATATATCGAATCGTTACCATCTCTGCCCTTCTCACACGGCGTTGCCACACTGTTTAAGTTATGTACTTGTATTTTGTAAACAAATCCAAAATTAAAGCTAGTTAGTTGACTTTTAAATTTTATTTCATTTATCCGAATAATGCGTATTACCCGACACTTGGCGCAGCTATGGGAAAAACGCAACCCCACGGCCGTTCACCTGAGCACCTATTTCTTCTTTGCATTGCTCCGCCTAATTCTCGTTTTTGTACCCCAATTGGGCTACGTGCATCCAGATGAGTTTTTCCAGAGTGTCGAGGTAATGACGGGTAAGTGAAAATGCCGGCCAGTGCACAATATTTCATTTAATTATTCAATACCATATTAGGTGATCACTTTCGTTTGGAGCACACGCGAACTTGGGAGTTCAATAATACGATGCCGGTGCGGAGCATAACGCTGCCCTGGGCGCTACTTCGCGTGCCCTGGAGCTTCTATGAGTTTGCGGCGCTATATGTGCGTGGCTGGTGGCAGGTGGAGCTAATCAATAGCTATGCTTATCTGGTGTTTCCGCGGCTCATCTACACGCTAATCTCGTACAGCAATGACTGGTGCCTGTATCGGATTTGCCGGCTTTACGGGCTGCGCCATGAGATCCGCCTGCTGGCGCTGGGCAGCAGCTGGGTACTGCTGGTCTTCGGCACGCGCACCTTTTCCAACACGCTCGAGCTGGCCATGTGCTCCTGGCTGCTTTGCCTGGTGGCCGAGTGCATGCTGCGCACGAATACGGTGGTGTACAAAAAGGAATTCCTGGAGGAGAAATACGATAAGGCGGCTTCGATAAGTGAACGCGTCAAGATTTGGAAGCTGAAGAATGCGCTGCCCGCGCACAATTTGCAGCATCTGTTCGCCATGTCCAGCATTTGTGTGGCCGGCGTCTTCAATCGGCCCACGTTCCTGCTTTTCGGCGCGCCCATGGTATTCTTCTGGCTGCTGCGCGGCATGGGCACACGCAGCGTCAGCTTTCGTGATTTCAATCTGCGCATCGGACTATTCTGCCTGTGTGCGCTGCCAGCACTGCTGCTGTTCATATTCTGCGACTCGCTCTACTATCAGCATCTGACCGTGGGCGAGCTGCACATGCTGCAGCTGGGGATTGATAACTTTGTGTTTACGCCATGGAATTTTATCAAATACAACCTGGACTCGGCCCAAACGGCCACGCATGGCGTCCATCCCTGCTATGTGCATCTGCTGGTCAACATGCCGCTGCTCTTCAATGTGCTTGGCCTCGCCGCCCTGGTGTCGTTTGCCCAGCTGCTGTTGCGCTTCTTTTGCGCCGAATATCAGCTGCTGCCGCGCTTTCAGAGCATTGTGTCCTTGATGTCAGGTGCCATCTTTGTGCCGCTCTTCTTTCTCTCGTTGATCAATCATCAGGAGCCGCGCTTTTTGCTGCCACTCACATTTCCATTGCTGTTGCTGCATGCGCCCAAGCTCATCACTGGATTCAGCGCCACATATCCATTCCAGACGCAGCACCCGCTGCTACGTTGGCTTTACGATCGCCTGCTGTGCAGCAGAGCCTCAGCACCGCATCTGCTGCGCATTTGGTACGTGTGCAATGTGCTGCTCACGCTCTTCTTTGGCTTCATTCATCAGGCTGGCATCTTTCCGCTGGCACAGCATATGTCGCATGTGGTGGCCACCAAGCCGGCGGCCACCCATGTCCATCTGCTTACCTCGCACACCTACAGCTTGCCGCTCCATTTGGTTAATGTGCCCAGCTCGCGTGTGCTGCACTTTAATCCGCAGACGCATCAACGTTATCGACGCCAGCGCGACTTCTTTTTGTACGAGTACAGTGGCCTGGCGCTGGACACGGTCATGCACAAGGTGAAACTCATCTCGGGCAATTGTGAGCTGAAGCGCAATGGCGCATCTCGGCTGCGCTACAAGATGTACCTGGCCATACCAGCTACACTGAGCGGCGAGCTGCACGAGGCACTACAGCGTTCCAATGCCAGCAGCTACTTGCACTTTGAGCTGGTTTCTGTCTTCTACCCGCATCTGTCCACAGAGGCTTTTCCACGCCTGCAGGGTCGCCATCCCTGCGATGTTGATGCGCCCCATTGGACGCACGACGATCTGCGCGGCACTTGCGCCGTGGAGCAGCCGCCCACGTTAAGCTTTGCCCACCTGAGTCGTCAGTTCAGCTCCTTTGTGCATCAGTTTGGGCTGGCGCTCTACGAGATCGATGTGCGGCGCAAGCAGCCGCGTGCAGCTACACACACGCTGGACCTGGACACAGCGCCGGCAACACCGCTGCCCGAATCCTCGTCGTAATAGTAGCAGGCGGCTGGCGTGGTTCTGTTGCTGCTGTCCAAAGTGTGTCTTATACCAAAGATTAAGCTAAACATTTTATTAATCTGTTGTTGGCATGAAATATTTGCAGCTCTAGTCATATAACGCATCATAAATATTCTGTTTTATCATTCGAACTAATACAAAACATATATAAATTAAACACATTCCTGCTTATAAGAAAAAAGAGAAAAAAAATGTCGACAAATCTCCTATACTTATTAACGTATTAAGGTTTGCATATAATAAGTTTTATTATATATATATGTTGATTATAATTATCAACTTTTTTTTCTTATTGATTCCACATTTGATCTTCTAATAGATCTATCACTATCCAAATATTGAAAGATATTTATGAAAATGAACGTTTGGCACTTCAAAGCTGCATCATTAATTTTAATATTATTAAGAAAGAAAATGTACAATTTTCTCTTTATTTACTATTAAATAAAATTTAATTGTGCTTAGTATTTTAATGTTTTCCTTATCAAAGGAATTATTAATGGCTTTTATTACATTTGATTTTGGTCTCAAATGAGAAAAAGCAACTTAATAAAATTAATAAAATGTTATTAATAAATAACAGGCGAGACATGTAAACTGTAAGACATATTTATTATTTATTAAGTTTATTTTATTCGACAAATGTTTGCAACAATTTCCTATAGAAGAAATGTGGTACAAAATCTAGATCAAATTATTTGCTGCTGATATAAATATATATTTTAATTATTTAATTGATTGAACATAGGAAATTAGAAAATAGTTCAGCTTGTTTTTTTTTCGAAAAACTAATCATTCCTTTTACAATTAAACAGCTTTTCAAGATATTGTAAAAGTTTGCTTAAGAATCGAATCTCAACTATTCTGGTAACCAGGCAACTTTGCAAGCTGTTTATCAACTTTATTTGACTGTGCTGATTGCTTGTAGGCTTGTCAAATAATCGCTGATAATATTTAATTGTAAATCTCAGTTGTCGCCAAAAGCTGGTAACATGAAATGGAAAATATAATCCATTTGACACGCCGCAATGTCGAGCGACAAACATTTGACACTGAGGTTCTCTACAAGGCGCGGCATCCGCGTTCATTGAACGTAACCAAGCAAAAAAAAAATAAATAAATAAATCAACAACAGCAAAAAGTTAAATAGAGTACAACAAAATTTCTTACTGCGTCCGCATTGTGTTCTAATTCAGCTTTTTATTTGGCTCTGGGTCTGGGTCTTAAGCCGTAAACTTGTTTGAGGGCGTCGCAAGCCTCAAGCCGCATTTTGGCTATAAAAGAGTCCAGGTAATTGGCCAACAGCATCAGTCGCTGACCATTCATTCCAAACCAACAACATGAAAGTAAGTAACAGGATCAGTGCAACACTTCGATCTCTAATCCTTTGATCTCTTGACTTTGCAGTTCCTCATCTGCTTGGCTCTCTGCTTCGCCGTCGCCCAGGCTGGCTTCCTGGCCTCACCGGTGGCCACTTACGCCGCGGCACCTGCCTATGCAGCCACTTATGCTGCCGCACCCACCTATGCAGCTACCTATGCAGCTCCAGTGACCACCTACTCGGCCGCCGGCCTGCCCGCCGCCTACTCCACTTACCACGCTGCCGCGCCCGCATACGCAGCCTCCGTGTACAGCGCGCCGGCGTACACAGCGCCCGTGGCCACCTATGCTGCACCTGCCTATGCTTCCCCAGTTGCCACCTATGCTGCTCCAGCTGTCATCAGCTCCTTCCTTAAGAAGAAGTAGACTGTTTGACAAAAGCATATTCCTTAAACTGCGCCCTTTTCATTAATTGAACACTGAATAAACTCTAAAAAATACTAAGAGAAATGTATAATTTATATTTATATTCTTTAGAGATGTGCTCCGCTACAAGAAGGGATAAGTTATATAATCGTAACATTAGTTTTGATAGTTTAGGATTAATTTAGATTTGGATTCCAGCATCGGCAGAAATGTGCACCTATACATATTAAGTCTCCGATTTAAGTATAAATATTTGACACAAATGCCAGTCTAAGATCTCAGACTTATTCCAGAAAGCGATGTACATAGATTGGATGTTGGAATGTTTTCTGCGGGTTTCGAGTTCCTGACCTTATGATTTGCTAGGCGAAGGGCTAGGCTCTGTGGTTGCTTACAATAATAGATACCTTTTGGATGGATTGTTTTATTTATTAAACTTATTTTAATATGATTTTCTAAGTCCACCCATATAAATTTATATATATATCTATATGGATTGTATATGTTGCTCTATTCTTTATTTGTGATTGCTTGCAACCGTAAATGCTTAATAAGTATTAAATCGTTGATGCTACAATTTAGTGACTAGACTACATTTAGCTTATAAAGAAATATCGTAAGCCAAATACAAAACAAGGTTAACTTAGCGTAGGCCACATTATTTAGTGGATATTACGGCTCAAGTACATGGGATTCGGATTCGGTGAGTCAGCATCTTCGAAGACAAAGTCCTCCTCTTCGTTCCAACGCACGCTGCGTGCCCCACTGCTATTTCTATAGCATTTTGCGGGGTATACACGATCGTGCCATTTTGGGGGTAGTTATCGGTTGGCAGTACGAGAAAAAAAGTAAGTTCAGAATATATAGACTTTGTCGCTGTGAACACATAAGAATTGGTTGTGTGTTTTGCTTGTTAATCTCTGTCGATTACAAATCAAAAATCAAAAGAAACCAAAAAGCAAACTCATTCGATAATTGTTTAATAACGTTGGTAGAACCTGTTCAAGCCGGCCGCTGGCGGAGGCGGAGGCGGCGGCGCGCTGCGTGGCGGAGTGCGACGTGCTCTGCAAATGAGAATCATAAAGCTTGTCAAAATGTTACCCATCAAGGGAGTATCTAGTCTTACGCCGCAACAATGTCAGCGTCCATATGTGCACCAGTACCGTACATATCGCTCTCGTCCATGTCATAGTCATCGGTACCAGTGCGTTGGCTGTTGCAAGAAAAAGAGATAGAATATTTTATTTTATTTTTTTTTTTTTAACAATTAACTCCTAATTTAACAAGAGCAGCTACAATGCGGTAAGGTGTAAAGCGTTCAATGCGTTGAAATTAACAATTATTACAGTTTATTATTATATTAACATTTTGTATTTTGTCTGAGACTGTTTGCAAATAGCGCTCTGTTACTAAAATTATGTTATCTTAACGTGCGTTGCACAGAAAATAAATAGAAATGCGACAGAAATAGATGTAATTTTAATTGTTCACCGTAAATATCGAATATTCCATTGTTCATTTTACCGCAAGTAAACATTTTATTTGTTTTAATTTTTTATATTCTGTTATATATGAATTTCAGAAAAATTTAAACAAAAATAATTTTCTTATAGTTTTTGTTAAAAAATTTCAAATTTGTAATATTTATAAATTTTACTCTTACATTTGCATATTATCCTAACATGGCTGTTAATCAACATAACAAGTTAACAGAAGTTTCTTGATATTTCTGTTAATATTTTGCAAACACAATTATTAACTTCAAGTTGAACAAAATCTTAAGCAGTGGAAGTTTTAAAGGAAAGTTTCGTATGATATCGCTTGAAATGGTTTAGGTGAATATACGAAATTATAATCACTTCTACGGTCAAGGGGGTAGCAATAGTTAAAGTTTGTTATTAACAATATTAAGATAACATTGTCGCTGTTAAATTTCTATTGGAAATAGGAAAATTTAACATGCAAATTTATTTTCAAAATTAATAATTAGAAATTAAGTGGTTTCAGGCAGAGGAACACAGAATTGTGAGTCGACACAGAGACAGCTGGGACAACTCACAGAAGCTGACTCCGCTTGTTAATAATGTCCTGCACGGCTCGGGCAGTCAGCGAGACTTTGTTCCTCAAACGCATCGGCGTTCGGGGCATGGGCACGGCAGCCGGTATATCCGGATTGACGCTCAGAACGGGCGTAACCGGACGACGTACCGCTTCGCTGCCAGATCTATCCACATTGGTACCACGTCTTGAATGGAGAAATGAGTCACTGGAGGGTCAATTGCAAGTGGGCTAGGGGCGTGGCTTTTCACTGAAGCAAGACTTACAACTTTGGCTTAGTACGCAGCTGGGTGCGGCTATCTGGCTGCTGGCGGCGCATGTCTGGCTGCTGCCGCAGCTCGGGGCTGACGCTGTTTTTGGCGCGCCAGCCGCTGTCCTGCGGCTCATCCCCAAAGTCAAGCTCCTCAGTGCTTTGCCGGTGACTGGCAGCGGCAACAACAACAGAGTGTCAGAGTCAGAGTCAGAGTACTTAAGTGTGTGGCACAGGGGGTGGGGGACCTTAGCTAAACTTACAGAGGCGTCTTGATCTTATTTCTGGACTGCCAAATGTTGACGATCTTTCTAGACTGACTGCTTTCGCGCTCATTGGAGTTGGCTCTACTGGGCGCACTGGATGAACCCCAATTATCATCCTCGGTCATAGTGCCACCGCGACGCCTGTTTGGGTTTCAACATGAAATGCGATGAGTGGAAGCTGGTGAAGATGTGCGGCTTGGCCAATTTTTGTGGGCGTCTCTACTCACAGCTGCTGGCGACTGCGCACTGGCGTATTGATGGTCGCCATTTCGCGCCCACGGCTTAGCTCACGCTCTCGGCTACGCTGATCACGCTCCCGGTCACGATCACGCGCGCGCTCCCGCTCCAGCTCCCGTTGCTCCGACTCCTGGCGACGCTGAAGCTGCTGCTGCTGCTGCTGCTGCTGCTGCTGCTGATGCTGCGGTTGTCTCGATGGCGTTGAATCCTCATCGCCTATGTCCAGTGTTTCCTCGGTGGCAGTGCGTCGTCTATGAACAAGAGTTCTGTTATTTCCCGCTCGCCCGCACCTCCCTCTGTCTACTCACAGTGGCGGTCTGGCTCTAGCCGTGCTGCTGGTGCTGCGTTCCCTCTGCTGATCACGCTTCGCAGAGCTACTCGTGCGCTGCTTCTGGCGTCCACGACTGTCGCCGCGACGTGACCGCTCGTCGCTTCTGTCGCTCCTGTCGCTTCTGTCGCTGCGTTGTCGATGCTTGCCCTTGCTGCGTGCCTGCGCCCTCTGCATCGCATTCAGGCGCGTCTCTATGGTGATCAGATTGAGACCCACTGGCGTACCGATCGCCCAGAGCAGCAGTGTTAGGAATATGAAGAACCAAAGCC